GTGTACAGATAATTATTTCTTTAAAAATAAAGATAGAAAAAAAATTATTTTCAAACCTTGTTTTACATCCCTAAGGATGTATAAAAACACTTAGTAAAAAAATCCTGACTGAGTTTATCATAATTCATGCACGAAAGGGTTAAAAAACAATGTACCAGAAGCTTCTTTTGAACATATTCAGACTGTAATGCTAACAATTAGATTAAATATGTAGCCACTATGAGTAAAATACAAACAAATTTTTCACAAGTCAGCACAGGTCGTCTAAAATGGAATAGTGTGAGAAGTCCTAAGATCATAAGACTTGGTTTAAACAGATAACTTTTTCAATGATCAAGCAAATAAGGTTAACCAGAAAAACTTTGGTTCAATATTTTATTTTTATATCAAATTAAATGCATAAAATGAAGTCTTATTGGTATTATAATCTTTTGGTTTTTGATGTTACACAAATAGGTGTGTACATAGTCTGTAGCTGAAGAACAATTCCAGAAACTTTTGTTTTAGATTTTAGCGACTGGCTTTCATCAGGTTTGCTTTATACCCACTGAAACCTCACAGGAACACAATTTAAAGAACATAAAAGCTGTAAATCAGAGCAAGTTTTGCAGCTTTCAGATGCTGGTAAACCAATAGTCCCAGAGCTTCTGCTGTACAAGAGCACCATTCTCTGACTGTCAGGCTTTGTGGGACACAGGTCAGGCAATCCTCACTTACTGAACCTAGAAACACTCTGAGTTACTCTGTAAACTCCTGAAAGCCTCAGAGCTGAGCTGCTCCTCCTTCGTTGCCGTGCCTCTGCTCAGGTGAGTGTGCACAGGGAGTACAGCTTGTGATGCTGGAACGCTCACCTGGGACAAAGACCCAGGGTGTGGTGGCGAGCAGCTCACGTTTCCCGAGCATTAAGGCTGGAAGATGAATTGGAAATAATTTGCTTTTTTGCAAAGCAGGTGCAGAATTCTTCTATAAACATTTTGTGTGGTGGTCAATGGAGCTTCGTGTGTCACGGCTCAGCTGCATCACCTTGTTGCAGGCGTTTGACGAGGGAGCAGAAAGGAGTCCAGGTAACTTTTTTTTTTCTGGATCAGTGAAGTCATACTGGGTTGCAGCTAATTTGGAAAAAAAAAATCAAAGCTACTGTTTGCAAGTCATCTCTCTTCTCTTTGTGTGATTGACAAGCGTGGCCAGATTCTTTTATGATGCAAAGCTGCAGGTAAATATTTGTCTGCACTCAATTCAGTGTTAATCTGAGAATCTAATCAGGCTCTGTCTCATGTTTCTTTTGCCACCTTTCAGCAAAACCTCTTTCATTTCCCTATTTTTTTAAGTGCAAAAAGGACAAGAACAGACTCTTCTACCTTGGTGACATTTTATGTTTTTAAAGTAGTTATTCGAGGACCTCTGGAAAGCGCCTGAAAGGAGACTTTTAACCTTCTGTCTTGCAATCTATGTAAGCACCTTTGGGTAATAAGTTACAAAACTGGTGAAGGGACTTCACTTCACTGACACAGCCTACTTCTGTCTTCTTCTTGATGCAGCTACAGTATGTGTGCCATGAAGGCTGAGGAGGAGTTGGGTAAGTGTCACTTTTCATTTCCATGTTGAGTTTTCTTTATTGTTTACACCCTCTGCTGTTAGAACAAGAACCATTCAGATAAAAATGAGTTAAAGTCTTTAATTTGAAATGAAAAGCTGATTGTTTTGTTTGTTTTTTTAACACAAATCATTACTATATGAGTGTACTCCTTGTTTATCTGTTTATCTTTTTATTTTTGTTTTTCACACCAGACATTTTTATATAACATCAATGTAAATAGAACTATCATTCAAATAAAATAGTCCTTTTTTAGTTTGTTATTAGAGTTTAAGGTGCTAGAAGAATGTATTTCTTTATTTTTTCTTTCTTTTTTTTTCTTTAACATATTTCTGCCTAATAAAGTCATAAAAGTCTCTAAGCTCCAAAGTTCTGTCCTGGCAGGCTTCACATGGGAGGTGAGGGCGAACAGCCGTCACAACCAGAAACAGAAGCAGAAGAAATCCTTCCTGTGCTTCAGCTGGGGGCGATACTCTGTAAGTCACACTGACTCACACTAGGATGCTCAAAGATCTAGACTCTGATGA